AAAAAAAAAGAAGAAGAAAAGGAAACACCCTTTTAATCCTTTATGCACTGGTACTTGGTTTAAATTCATTTAGAGATCGACCCTTCTACGTTTTCAAGCTTGTTTTCTGGCAAGAAGTGGGCGAGCAGGTTATGTATTTTCAATCACTTTTGAAAAAAACATGTTTCATTTTTAAGAGTTCGCGAACACTAGAAATAGTTGGTGCTTCTCGTTGAATTTGCAGACACCTTTTGTTTTCCAGCCATCTTTTGTGCAAATCATGATACATACCATTAACCAACTCATGAATTTGCAGACACCTTTTGTTTTCCAGTCATCTTTTGTGCAAATCATGATACATACCATTAACCAACTCAACCATCTGATCGACAGAGGATCAAGTGGCTCTCACCAAAAAAGGAAACAATGACATAAAAGTATACATCAATCTGATCGCATCATGTCTAATCACCAGCACAACAAAACAACAACATTTCAGAATACTCGTTCTGATCACTCGGGCACCAGACGTTTCTGGCAGTCTCTCTTTTATAATACAACATCACCATTCGTTAAGACAGTAGAGATGAAAAAAGAAGAGATAAACTTTGATAATACGGGTTCTCGATCAGGCAATGATATTACAAAGGAAGAGGATATCCCCTGAGGTATCTGGAATCTACACCGGATTCCCTTACCAGCGCCACCCTTCCTGTCCGTGCCACCTTCATAAAAGATTAAAGCAGAAAAAAAAATAAATAAATAAAGGTTAAACGTCATAAGCATGAGAAGTAAATTTCGAGGTTCTGTAGAGGCTAGTCATTCTCGTCTGATGTATTTGACACGTAGCAATTTGCGACTAAATAGTTTTTTGGCAATCCAAATATTTTATCATTTAGACACACTTGCTCAACTAAAAATTGTTTTCGACAGTGAAAAGAAAGTCAAGAGAAAACAGAGCAAGCATTTTATTAAAATCAAGAGAAAACAGACTTACCTCACAAATACCGTAAGGCTCTAACAAGTTTTGAAGCGCAAGCATTTTATTAAAGTCTCCAGTCACCTGGAAGAAAACAGAGCACCTAGTGAAGAAGTCTTTATAGGACTGCAAAATTTCATAAGAAAGTTGAAGCTTTTCGGTAATTAGGCTAATCCCCAAGAATACTCTCTTTTGTAAATTTCCAGGTCAGAAGATATAATCCCCAAGAATTTAAATGAAGAAAAAACTTGATGATTTGGAAGTAGGCAAAATTCCAACAATAAAGCTAACCTCTAATGTGACTGTATGGTCGGAGACATCTACAGGTTTGGCACGGAAAATACTGGCAATATCAAGAACATCCCTTCTTGCATTAGCATTAGCAGCAATCTTAATCAGCATGAGTTCACGCTCAGCAAATGGGGAATGCGTAATATCTTTCACCTGAGGAATTCACCATCACGGCTTCTGTGTTAATCATCTCGTTTCTCAGTGGAGAAAGGGATAAAACTCACTTCAGAAATATACTTTTGCTGCATATTATTACGCAACTGAAAGACTAAGGATGATTTCAGACGACATACATGTGAATGGTAATTTCAAATGGATGACTAGAAGTCTAAATTATTGGAGAAGCAATAATCAGCAAGGCATCCGAAAAATTCCCAAAGGGAAATAAAAATGTTAAAATGATTTGTCATAAGAATGTTATTCAAGAGAAACAAGAAGTTGCTGTTAGAGAACAGTTGATGGAAGTAGGGATAATCAAAAACTACATCTAACTTTAGGCTAAGTACAAAAAACCTGCTGCTATTATCTGTTAAAATTGCAAATACCCCCTAATAGTGTAGCGAACTAGGAATTTGTATCACCTCATGAACATCGACCAACTTATAGAATTGCTGAACCAACTTGTCAATACTTTCATCCGTTCCAGGAACAACAGTTGTTATGCGTGAAAGCCCTTCCCTTTCGGCATGACCTACAGCGAGACTCTGAATATGGAGTTCAGAGAAATGGTTTAAGCAGCAATCACCGTCGAGAAAATGAACTAAATATCACAGGCTACAGCAAGAACTGAAAGCTAGGCAATAAAAATTTAAATTAATTTGACCTGAACGTTATACCCTCGTCGAGATATAACTCCAGTGACCAAGTTCAAAACTCCAGGAACATTGTTGACAACCATGGACAAAGTGTGTGACTGAAGCCCAGTTGACTGCAATAGTAAGATAAGAATAATGATAGAAATCCTGGAGCTTCAGAAACATAAGAAATTAAGAATCGTCTGATGGGATGACATTCCTACTAAATTAGAGTTTAAATTATAATTCTGCACAAACTCTTGGGAGCTGACAGGTGTCGTCCTTTGACTTTTTCATGTGGTGAATTTGGTCCTTGGTGCCTTCTATTTCAAGTTAAAATACAATTTAGGATTACGATTGTGCCCACTTGGATTTTCCAGACCAAAATGCCAGAGAAATGGAACTTATGAAACCTTAATAATATGAAATGTCATCATCTTGGATAGAAACAGAAATTGCCTTAGAGAAAGGGGGCAGTTGTAATTTTTCTAAAAGATATCTGTGTAAAATCTAACTAGACCACATCATAAGGGGATTTCCAAATATAAACTCAAAAACTTATGTATGGCATCTTCAAGTTGTACAATAGGTATAAGCTATAACAATTTATTTTGGACGAACATATAGGCTAAAAGCCTATGTCTCTCTACAACACGAACTCTAAAAGAGTAATGAACCATGAATGGACATCAAACAATTAATCCACTTAATTGTCAGTGAGAAATATCTTACATCTTCATCATAGAGAACCCCCCAGTGGGCATCAAGAACTTGATGATAGAAGCCATCATCGGGTTCCACAGGATACACATCACCCTTCAATCCGAAATGAATTCACATTAGAAATTAGTCCAGTGGAAGTCAACCATGAGGAAATTAGAAAGTGAACATGAAGAATTTGATTAACTACATACTCATAACTGAAGTTTCCTGTCTGAAAATATAAATAATACAATTTGAAGATACTAATAACGCATGTGAGTAGAATTCAGAACCGGAAGTTAAAATTAAGCAGATGCAATGATAATTTAAAGGCCACTACGAAGACAAGATGCAAAAGAAAATAAATACTATAAGACAGTAGCTCATGTACCCCTGATGTATCACTGTGCTTGCCATTTGGGTCCTTTTCAATGACTTTCTTGATGGCATCATCTGAAGTATTCTCGATGGGTATAGTTCCTTCAAGATCAGGATAAGAAGCTGCAGAAAACCTCCAAAATGGTGCTGTCTCGCCCATCTTTTCCCTTCTCAAAGCAATCTTGAGATTTATTGATAACAGAAATTGTAAAAAGAAATGAATGAAACGATCAAAAGGAAAAGGAAAAATACTAGTAAGACTTAAACTATTAAATTGGAATCAAAGCAGATAAGGACAACTACTTGATCTATATACAAAATGAACAGCATAAGCTGTTTAGGAACAATTTGTAAGTAACAGCACATAGCGGATTAATCATTCTCTCTCACACTCAACTTATGATTACAGATTCAGCCGCCATTAAAAACAAAATCTTGTATTGGAGTTCAAAAATCAAGCAAATGTCATTCTCGTCTATACAACGACTTAAGTCAAACTTAAATAAACTATGGTCAAAATAATCATCCTACTCATAAATGGTATCAGCTAAGACACATAAGCAAGGAAATAACAGTATTACCGTCCCAGTTCTTGCTAGTTCTTTAATACCAAACTTTTTGAGATTCCTCAACACAGCTTCCATCTTGCCAGGGTCTCCAGTGACCTATATCAACCGTGAGGCAGAAACTGTAAATAACAGAGTATGCACGACCGTGAAAATGATTGAAGACAGGACAAATATTAACTACAAACTTAACGAGCCAACAACATTAAAGATAGGGTAGATTCGGTACAAACATATAGGTGACATACACTTGGACTGTTGGACATAATGCATACATGGCAGATATCATAATTGCGCACATTCCATCATCTATAAAATCTGTAACTTCTATAATAACAGATCACTTATGTCAAACTTTATGCAAAGCTTTTCTATGTGAGCAGCATTTTCCTTAATGATAGCTAGCTCTTTCAGTGGGAATCCTAATTGGATTGGCGGACTAGTGAAATTCATGTAATTTAGAGTTGACAATGGGAGATCAAGGAAATGCATCAAGCCACGACCTCGTACAATTGGCACAATCTTTGATTTCCACGCCAGAAAACTTTGAGCCGAAAAACGCTCGGAAATTGCTTCTTATTCTTTAGAAAGATTTCTGTGGTTTTCCATAGCTAGCTCTTTCAGTAATTTAAGCATGTCATTTAAATAACAGAATTTACTACAAATCAAACCAGTTGTGCACTTAGGTGGTGAACGAACCTGGTCACATCTGTCAAAATATCATCAGATAACATGCTACAAAAATATGCATAATGCACAAACTTAGAGATATCTTTTTCTATTTGTGACTGGATAGCTCACACATCAAACATTGATCGACTTAAAAGAAATTAGCAATGGGCCTTAAAATAGAGTTCAACCTCAACGGTCCAAGTGCGATCTGATATGTCCACGATATTTGCCCTGAAGATGTCTACTAACCACTTGATCTGAAATTTAACCAAGGAACCATCATAGTCGGGCTCAGTCAAGCTATTAGACAAGTGAAATATAATAAATGTAAAGGGTTCATTATAAAAATGTGAGGATCTCTTCAAGAAGAGAACACACACACACACACACATATGTATATATAATAAACTTATGGGTAGAAACCTTAAAGCACACAAAGCACTAGGAAAACAGAGAACAATTCCCTAAAGAACCATTGACTTCCGGAAAAAATTAGCACAAACAAACAAAAGACTTGTTACTGCTCAAATGCAGACTTCATTAAATTCCTTCACTGGAGGTCAAAGTGGGTCTGAAAGAGTACAAAATATGCTCACAATACATTTTTGGAGAATCTATTGACAGCTCACTATTGTTCAGAAATGACGGATTCGAAACCTGAGTCCTAAGACAAGACATTGATGGAACACATACTAAAGACAAGCAAATTTGAATAGAAGTTTTACTTCGCCAAGCGCCCGATACACATGTTCAAGACCAAGCAACATAGAATTCTTCACCCGGCATATTCTCTAAAGGCTCAATCAAAACAAATTAACCAGACACTTAAGGAAAAGAAAACTGGAAAGATTAACTTTTCCGTACTTCACTTTTAGTGTTGGAATCTGCATTGAGCTTTACTAGCATTAGTTCACGTTCTACTTGTGGTTCTTTCGACAAATCTTCTACCTGACAAATGAAATAGGCACAATTTATTCGGTGAAATTATAACAAGTACGAGAAAAAAGAGATGCTTAGGATTGGATGCATCACATACAACTCAAAACTTTAATAATTAAGCATCTATGTAATTGCAATCATACTCCTTTGGCAACTACTCTTTCATACAGGTAATCCAATCTTTGATTCACTAATCCTCGATATTATAGTAAAATAATTGAATAGCATAACATAGAATACCTGACAAACACTAAAACAAAGCTACTCAGAGCAATTAAATACGCGATATAATAAAAATTTAAATCCACGCATACTACCATACTTTCAATACATTCACGAGCTTGTTGAGTTGTTCAACAACTTGTTTCAGCACTTTATCAGTTCCAGAAACAACTATAGTGAACAGAGCCTTGTCCCTGTTAAGCCCAACTGCAAGTGACTCAATGTTATAGCCTCGACGAGCAAAAACACCAGTGATTCGGTTTATTATACCACTTTCATCCCCAACAAACACCGAGATGGTATGAAGTTTTGCCCTGAAATATTTTTTTCAAATCATCGTATGAATAGAATTGAAATTGCATTTGGATTATATATGATTTGGTTTGGGGAAGAGGATTCGGAGAGGATAATTTCAAATGACATCATAAACCATCAACTCGAGCTTCACTACAATTATGAAAAGCAGCTTGAAATAGGAGCTTGACAGTTTGTCGTATCATGAGCTTATCCAAACAAAGTTGATGGGAATTGTTAATTTCATTCAAAATCTGAAAAAAAAACTTCATCAAACCAAATGCGACCCTGGAGAATATGTGATGCAACATATCATGTCCCAGCAACTGCAACCACAGATGAGTTTGTCTGCTAAAACTACACGACGATCCCAAAATCCAACATTTTTACCACAGAAGAAAAAGAGTAAGAGCAATGCTAGTAATGGACTAAAATGTAGATGTGTATTCCCTGAGAAATCTCAATAATTTCCGTATCTCAATCAAAACAAGTTAAGCCATTGAGTTAGTGCGTCAAGAAAGCAAGTGAGCGAGCAAAAAGAGGAGACCAACCTTAACCTAAAATAAAACCCATTGAGGATAACAAATCAAACACGCTTTACAATTTGAAACCAGACAAACAGAGTAAAGAAACACACAAGAAAACGTCACCTCAAACCCATTCAAAAGACATCCACGGAGAGACAAAATCAAACCCATTTGCGATAGCAAACAAACACACTTTAAAATTCCAACACCAAACAAAGTAAAGAAAAATCAATTCAACACTCACCGTAAATCCATTAAATCAAATTCAACCAAACCTCATCCCAAATATGTATTATCAATTACTGTACGTAAATAAATGAACTTATGCGGGCTCGAATCACAGAACATAAAATATGTTACCTCGTATTAGTAGCGAGAGGTTGTGGATGTGAAGGAGATGGTCTCTGGGTGACGGACACGGCAGCACCATTTTCAGAGCTGCCACCATTAGCCGCTGCATGAGCTAACAGTAATTGCTTGCGTGGCCTGAAATTTAAGCTCCCCAATTTCACTTCGCCGGCGAAGGAGGTGAAATGTGGAGGGCTTTTAAGCTTCTCCACGCCGGTGACGGAGGAGTGTGATACCACCACCGCCGCAGCCATAGCTCGTTCACAGTAGATTGAGGAGAATAGAGAAAGGTGGAAGGAACGAGGGCTAATGCGAAGAGAGAGATTAATTATAAGGTCACCCTTGGTAACATGGAAACCTACTGGTCTGGACCATAGGTGACAGAAATAATCAATCAAATAATAATACAATTATTTGCACTTTGCATAAATAAAATAACAGATACATAAATGAAAAGTTAAAACTAATTGTTGGCATATGAGTGGCGGCTGGAGATTGCAAAATATCGGCTTGGGACCCACATTTCGACTGGTCGGTGGGTCGATTATTGGTAAGGGGGTGTCTATATGTACACCCCTTTGTGTGTAAAAAAGGGGTGTACATATAGCATTGCCCTTTGTGTAATTTATTAAAAAGGGGTGTACATATAGCATTGCCCTATTGGTAATTGTATATTGTTAAAGAACGATTTCGCTTCCGCTTTGATTAATTATAGTGTATAATTCCGCTACTTAGATTGATGTATATGCAAAACACAAAGACTTCGAACGAGCCTAGTCGAACTCATTCCCTTAACAAGATGAGTCGAGCTCGTGCCTTTGACGAGTCCAGTCGGGTTCAGCTCGTCCAATAAGCGAACCTGAAATCGAGCTTGAATTCGACTCGTTTATCACTGATGATTTGGGGATTTGGATCTTTAACGACTTAAATAAAATTTACTTTTCGAGCCTTGACGATCCGAGCCGAACTGTTAACCAAATAAGTTTTAAATAAGCTTGAGCTCGACTCATTTACCAAACGAGTCGAGCCGAACTCGAGTCTAGCTAGCTGAGCCAAACTTGTTTAATTTAGCGACACAATTGATATCAATTTGCACACACTACTATATTAAAGTTGCAAGTGTTATCTATAGGTACTAGGTCTGCACAATTAAGATCTAGTGCAACAAGTGTTAAACTAATCTCAAATATTTAACACGAGATTAATGGTTTTAGTTGACCCCAATTTATTGTCCAGATCACACAGATAAGTTTGCAATACTTACTCAAATTAATGAAAAAAATAACATAAAATAAATGTTTGCTTTGTGTTTTACATTAGTTGTCCTTGAATATGCAAGGATTGACTTAATATTAGGCTTGTTCACAATAAAGTCAAATCCAAACGAAGTCAATTTTCAAGAATACTATAAAAGAGAATGTAGTTAGGCAATAAACATCCACATGAGCAAAATCAATTTAATCACCCAAAATCAAACCAATGCATGCAAATTTTTCAAGCAACACTCTTGTCATGCATATACTTCAATTGAATTCTTAAAACAAATCATCATCAAAAACAAAAAGGAAAAAAGTTATTATCTCCTTTCACTTGGGTTCAACTTTAGCTTGAAGTGTATACCCACCACTGTAATCAAAAGCATCACTATAAGGATGCTTCAAACAACCTTTGCCACTACCAGTAAACTCCGTTCTGGATGATGAAGCGGAGGTCGAGTTCGTGTTCAAGCCGTCATTCTGCAAAATGTTCTCGAGAGACTTTACGACCTCAGCCATCGTGGGCCGGTCGGAGGCCAATTCCTCTACACACTGCACGGCCAGCTCGATAAACCTTTGGAATCCCACGAGGCACGGCGCGCCTCTTATGGTGGGGTCCATGATTTCGGCCAGACCATAATGTGTCTCGTCGTTTTTGTCGATCAATGCTCTCACTTCTCGAACGACATATTTGCCCTTCTCGATCGGCTGCTTGGCTGTGATGAGCTCGAGCATAACGACCCCAAAGCTGTAAACGTCGCTTTTCTCTGTCAGCTGTTGTGTCATGTAGTATTCTGGGTCGAGATAGCCCTGTGGACGAGTTGGAGTTTGGAGAAGAATAATAGTAAAAATTTTTGGAACATAAAATAAGATAAAGAGGAATTATTTCGAACTTTATTTTTTCAGAGAACGATTTTGATGAGTTTAGAATAATCATAGGATATGATTGGTAAAACTAGCTGATAGCTGATAAGCTTATAACTGATTTTTTTCAGAGAACGATTTTTTATGAGAACGATTTTTTTCAGAGAACGATTTTGATGAGCTTATAACTGATTTTCGAGCTTATAACTTATGAATTATGACTTATAGCTGAAAAACTAGCTTATATGATAAAAGTGTTTGGTAAAATTATATGATAAGTTAGCTGTAAAAAAACTTTCAACGAGCTTATTTGAAAAGCTACCCAAAGAAGCTTATGAGATAAGCTCAAACTTTTTAAAAGAGCCCGTCTTACCAAACGAAGCTTATTTAGATACTAAAAGCTCATAAGCTAACCAAATAAGCTATAAACTAGCTTACTTGGCTACCAAACATAGACATAGAGTTTAGAGGGAGAGTGATATATTGCAGCAGGAGTAGAAAATAGCTTGAAGCTCAACAGTTTGTTGCTTTATTTGGGTAGGCAAATTGCAAAAGTGAATTTATTGTGTGGAGAGGGCAAGATGAAAGCAAGATTATGGAAGTAAAAACAGCCATTTGGAAAGTAGCGCAATTCGGTTTTATAATTTATTCTTTTGAAACTTACTAGTGTGCCCTTGACTTGAGTCGAGATGTGGCCTTTAGAAGAATCGGATACTAGTTTGGACAAGCCGAAATCTGCAACTTTTGCCGTGAGATTGTCGTCTAACAAAATGTTTGAAGACTTAACATCTCTATGAATGATTGGTGGATTTGCGAGCTCGTGTAGATAAGCTAATCCTCTGGCCGAACCAAGCGCGATTCTTAGCCTTCTTTTCCAATCTAAATGAACTCCACTTTTTCCTGCAAACATATATTTTTTCTTAACCAAAACCTGACAGTAACTTTCTTAATAGGATTATCAAATTAAGTCTTTTGAGTTTACTTCTCTGATATGTGATGAAAATTACCTGATAAGCTCTCTCTTAATGTTCCATTGGCCATAAACTCGTACACCAACATCTGCTCCCCTTGTTCGAAACAGAATCCGACAAGACCAAGAAGGTTTTTGTGATGAACTCTTGAAAGCAACTCGATTTCAGTTTTAAACTCAAGCCCGCCTTGTGTTGAACCTTGTTGAGCTCTTTTAATTGCTACTATCTGTCCAGTGGAGAGTACTCCTCTATACACCTGAAAAAAACAAACTAAGGAAAATGAAGAAAGAACGGAAAATAAAATAAAGAAACATTGGAAAATAAAATAAAGAAACATTTATTTATATCGCTATTTACTTATTTATTACTAACACCACTACTATTACTCTTATTATCATTATGCAGGCAAACTAATGTAATAATGGAAAACCTTGCCATAGCCTCCCGAACCAATCTGATTTCTTTGCAAAAAGTTACTAGTGCATTTCTTGAGCTCATCATAAGAAAACCATCTTGCTCCTTTTAGCTGTGGTGCACCTCCACTGTCCTTGCCGCTCGGTGTCCATGATGCTGTATGAACGAAATCAAGAAAAATAAGCAAAATGAAGTTTCTGCTAAATAACTACAAACTGGTTTCTATTTGTTAGTACAAGTCAAACAAGAAGCAAAATCGGAAATCTATATCATCTTGCCCCCTATTTTTATGTTCGAATCAAATTGTGTAGAGTTTGCTGTAATGTAGAAAGTCCAAAAATATATTTTCGATCCATAAAGCTAAATAATGACATTTTCTTTGTAAGCATTACGAAAAAGAACGTGAATCACCAAATGGTTTGCTTAATGCTATGGCTTGCTCAGCCCGCCTCTTTTGCCGAACAGCATAGGCCCCTAACACTGCCAGCACAAGAACCAAAAATGCGCATCCGGTTGATATTCCAGCAATCACGCGCCTGCTGATGTGGGCCCTCCCTTGTTCATCTGAAATATTCCATTATCTATTCCTTTTCAGCCACAAAAAACTGACAGTGGCTATTCTGTGCAAACACTACATTAATATCAGCTAGCTTTTTTCAGAACACGTACCCCCGAAAATGTAAGGAGACGCTATAAAATAATATGGCCCGAACTCGTGAGGTGGCTTATATGTTTGGTTACTCAAAGAAAATCCAATCCTCTGAACCATCGACCTATTGAAATACTTCTCGCCCGATGGAAATAACCCGAGCTGCACCTGAAGATAGTCATCCTTATTAAAGAACGAATTTTGCAGGGAAACTGATCCGGGAGTAAGGCCCAGTTTGACCCAAAGGCTCATTTCTAAAGAATGGAACAAACTCGCATTCGAGATGTCACGAAAAGTGGGAGCTCTAAAGTACAGTGTGCCTTCATACGGATAAGCACAGTCACAGCTTTGTGGGTTGAGCTTCTGATCATTGGTGCAGATTTGGCTACCACAGTTTCCAAGGTTAGTCGAGTAAGGTTTGCCCGATTGCTGGATTTGACAATAGACTGTGTTTTCTAGAGTAGCAGAGCACACCGGGTTCCCGATCAACCTTTGATATAAAAAATAAAATTAAAAAAAAAAGGAAAAAAATGTGAGAGAGAAATGTACGTATAAGCAAAGCAAAAACTTCTCCGATGATCTTAATATATGATTATATTCCGAGTATTTATTGTCTTACAGTAACGTGCTTCTATACGCGGAGCCAATTGTTACTGATGAAATGTCGTTGTTCTCCAAGTCAACAAGTTGAAGATGCTCGTTAATATTGCCGCTCATGTCTAGTTTATCGCCAAAGGCATTGTTCCTCAATTTCCTGCCGATAATTTAATCGAATTACTATGCCACCATATTAAGTAGGATTTGTATATATGCGGGGTTATTACACTTGGAAGTGTAATAACTCAAACGACAGAGTGGAATTTTCATTAAATAAAGTGCTGGCAATGTGTGTTGGTCTTTCTCTATTTATGGTTGTTAGACTCACACTTCCTGTATCTGAGGTAAACTGAAAAGTTCTGATGGGACTGAGCCTTCTAATGGTCCAGATTCAATCACCCTGGGTGCAGCAAAAAAAGCATAATCATGGCACAAGAAAGGTTTCTTTAACTCGAATTTTGAAAGAATGTACCGATTCTAGGTTTTAACAGTATTTTTTTCACATTTTCATCAGTAAGATACCCATACTCACAAAGTAGTTAATGACTGTAAAGTCGAAAACCAATCAGGAGCTATGGATTGTTTGAAAGAATTGTTGCTCAAGTCCCTGCAAATCGAAAAAGGCAAGATGACATGAGAATTGTTTTTTTAATGATAAAAAAGAAGGTAAATGCAAAATCTCCCTTCACAATTTATTCAATTTAATAAATGAAGTCACTTTAGTTGGAACTTGCAATTCATGTTAGCTTTTGTTTTCTCTTTACAAATGCCCTTACCAGAACAGATATGTTAGGTAAACAAGAACATCATGAAAAAATCACGGTTCTTTTTGTAATTGAAGTAAATTTCTGAGGAAGTTTTTGTAATGATCTCTTAACAGTGAATAAGCGATATAGCCGAAATGATGAAATCGTTGTTCTCACACATAATTGAGGGAGTTCATTCCGGTTAAATTTGGTAAAAAACCAGATAACATATTATGAGCCAAATTCCTGCAAATGACAAACATAGTGGTTATAACATATAATCTAACCAACAAAATTCTAAAAGATAGGGTAAAATTCTCAATGCCCTGAAAACGAAAATACCCACAATTCAACGATGTTTGTAAGGTTGTTGAGGTTTTGTGGGACTGTCCCTTTCAGAAAATTCCGATCAAGCCGGCTGGATACATTATAAGGGGATGACAAAGAGAATAATTAAATTAATACTGCCAATGATTGAGATATAAGAATGAGAGATGAAGTTACTTAATACGGTGAGTTTACTCACAGAACCTCGAGTGCCTGTACAAGTGTTATTGTGGATGGAATGTTACCTTCCAATCTGTTTCCATCA